CCAAGTGACACTCAGTTGTCCAGAAGCAAACACAGTATGGTTATATTTGGGTTCCACTAGATGTGAAATTTTACCACAAGGAGATAGGAAGGTGGTGGTGGTGGTGGTGGTGGTGGTGGGGGATAGGGACCCGGACACCAGAGTATATTATTATCAATTTATTTAATCTTCCTTAAAGAGAAAACATCAAACACGCCTTGTAAGATCCACTAGTGTAAAGAACCCCTTGGATCTGAAACTTTGTTTGAAACATAAATATGTGACCCATCTGAGGCTCCCCACTCATCACTCCGCCACTCCCTTAATCTCTGCTGAATTATTTTAAAGCTATATATATATTCATCTGTAAATACTAGAAGTGTTTAAAGGAGTATTCGTATAATGATTAATCATATAATCCATCTAGATAAGAAGGTAAAGGCCGTGGAAGAACAGGAGGAATAAAGGGAGCGAGAGATGTTGGAATCTGTCATATTGGAGGTTCACACTGTTTATCAAATGAGATGGAGTGAGAGGCTCAACTGGAAGCACACAGTCTCCACCCTCAGATCACTCCAACTCACCCAATTCTCTTCCAAAATGACCAAACAGGAATCGTTCAAAACTTTGAAATTAACACACCCTTCTTTGAACTTGCTCAGACAAGACAGAAGTCTAGAAAATAAAATCTGAATGTTTCACTTAGCTACCACATGGCCAACCCCAATGCTCAGAAGGCTCTGTTAACAACATTGGGTCCAGAAACTTTCCACTGACATTCACCGCTGACACAGAGACACAGAATTTATGTATATTTATTTTTAAAAACAGAGAGATACATAGAATCATAACATATCTCATTATTTTGTGTATTTCAGAATGTAAGTATATTTGAGGTCTTTTCATATCAGGACACATGAAGCGGTGTCATGGGAAGAAAAAAGCACGTTTACATAGCTTCCAGTTTTGTGTCTTTATCAGCTAATGAATAAAGCTCTGAGAGCTTTGAAATGAGATTTCTGCACACATTTTGCCTTATCATTATCTCTAGGAAACATTCTCAAACACCAATTACTAGGCTAAAGGGTATTTTATACATTGCTAATATTTTGAAAGGTATTTTCAAAGTATTCAGGTTATGTCTTTGTAAGGAGATATAAAATACACTTCCAGCTGCTGCTCAGAAAATTCGCTGAATTATCTGAATCAGCTTATTTTATTCACTTCCCAAAGGCAAGTGATTGGGGGAAAGAGAGGAGCTCCCAAAGCCAGAGTTGCAGAACCGACTTCTAAATCAGTGCCTATATCCACCTGATGAACTTTGGAGGGTTATTCAAGTTTCAACACCAGAAGTTCTGATGTAAGGATCTAGGGTAGGGCCAGGGCGCTGATATTTTAAAGTAACTCCCTCCCCACCCATAGAATCTAATGTGCTGCCATCGTGGAGAAACACTGCTTTAGACAGAACAAGCAGAGGTAGAAATAGAGGGTCCACAGTTATCAGACATCAAAGAACAAAAAATCATATAATTGTGTACCCACTTTCTCAATATGATCACTGAAGACAAA